ACAGTTTTCAATAATTTCATAGCACACGATCAATCATAATGACAATATGGTTTTGGTCACTTTTCTCTTCAACCATTTTCTGATCCGTTGTAGAGTTGTCTTCAAAGCTCTCCGGAGGTGGATGCCGATCTCTCACCCTAGATCTTTATCTAGATCTTGAAAACCCTATATCTAGGGTTAGGGCATCAAGAGAGGAAGAAGAAGAAACACGACGGAAGAGGGTGGCGATAAAGATGGTGGTTTACAATTGAGCGGAGGCCTAGGGTTTGTAAGAAGGCAAAGTTGAAAAATTCAAGAAAACCATACTTGAAGACGCTGTAATTGACCTATAACCATTTCGGTTTAGACCTAACCCATTTCTTGCTTTTGAATCTGGGAAAACATGTCCTCAACTATTGTTCATTTCATTTTTATCCTGTACTAGTTAAGTTTGACTATTTGAGAGTTATAGTTGTGTTTGAAACATGTTGGGAGTTAGTTTTTCAAAAGAGTTGTTGCCCAGATTTTTTCCTGTTTGCTTGAATGGTCTTTTACATTCTGCAAAACTACTGAAAGGGAGGTATTTTCGCTTAAGCGGTCTTTCTTGTGCTCGAGCAGTCTTTTACAGGTCTAAACTTTTGGGAGGGGGTAATTGTGCGTTTGAGCAGTGTTTTTGGTCACTCGAGCGGTGTCACTTATTTTGTGTTTGACGCTTGAGTGGTGTTTTGGTTGCTTGAGCGGTCTGCACATATATCGGTCCGAGAAAAGGTTTTCTGAGTCACTTTTTCGTTTCTCTCTCTCTCTCTCTCTTTTTAAACATTCCAAAAATTCTAGTTCTTCACTCTCTCTCTCTCTAGTTTTGGTATTCAAGCTCCAAATACTCCTAATCTATTGATTTCTTTACTCTAGCCTTTTGGAGAAAATATAGAGCACACCAAGAGTTTTGTTTTAAATGGAGGAGTTATTGTTTTCGGCTCCGCAAAAATTCAACCCTTGCCCTCTCTTGTCTTCCAATCTTGAGTTATGGATTTCTTGTTATGACCCAAACACGTCCCTAGAAGTTTGGTTCATAACTAACCAGTAATCACTTGATTACCTATGGCCTCATACAAACATACAAAATAATTATAATAATGGGGTCATAAGCGGAAACATATCACAAATGAAGAAGTCCATTGAGCTATATTCAAAACCCTAACTCTTTTAAGTGTTGAATCCTCAAATTCCTCTTGATTTCAAACAAAAGATGAGTTATATACAAAGATTTTAGATCGATTTTGACACCTTAGCTCAAATCTAGGAGTTTCCTCTTGAATCTCTTCCAAATCCCTAGTTTCTCTTCTTCCTCTCTCTCTAACTCTCTTTAGCAAATACTCTCCACAAAGATGAACTAAAGATAGCTAGATACATATAAACTTAGGCAAATTAACTTAATTAAATCATTACGAATCGTAATTTTACAAAATTTTATAGTAGGCTCTAAAAATCATGCTTAACACAATATGAAGTCAGTTTTGGTTTCTTGGGACTTTAAGGTGTTCAATTTCTGTTCAAAGTTGTGGTTGCAATAGATATCTCTACATCCAACATATATAATTCCAAAATTACATAATTCACACACTTAAACTTCCAATTCATATCAAACACATAATCACATGCATAATTAAGTATAATACGAGTTGGGTTATCCATTTCTTCAACATTTGGTATGATTTTTGCCTTAATTATATGTCTATTGATGGAATCTAGTGATTTGGGGATTTTAGATTAAACCTAGGGTTTGGTTTTGAATTGAAAAAGAGGGGTCTTCAAATGAATTTTTGAGAAAGGTTGTGGGGATGCGTTTATGATTAAGTTATGTTAAAATGGTGAATTTCTTTACTTAAAATTGATTTTGAAAGAAAATAGGGTTTTGTTCTAAAGTCATGGATATTGGTTTGTGAAAGAGAATGGAAACGATGTTGGGTTTTGTAAGGATGGAACAATGTATATGTTGATGATGATGGTGGAGTTGAATATTTAATATCACTCCAATTTTGAAAATGATGAGATTATATCTTTTGTTGGAAATTATCTGTTGTATAGAAATATTTATTTTGGGTTATCAATAGAGGATAATTTTGATTATTGTAGAAATTGTATGAGAATTAGGTGAATTGAAACTAATTACTCATATATCTTGCATTGAGCATCGTTTCATACTTACGTATTGAAAATGTATTGCTATGAGAAAAATAGGTGAATACTTTAGTGAATCTTGTTAGGGAGGTGTGGTTGTGGTTATTATGTTGGCCTGTGTGTCATTGGTGAAAGTTCATAAACCCACGCGGTTAGGTATCGATTCTTCTGGTTAGTACCGGTAAAATGAGTTTGGTAGTGCTTGTATAGCTTATTGGTAGACATGTACCTAGAGATTTCCAGTGTTTTGTATCCACTGCTTTGTTTTCTGATATAAAAGGTTATTTTCATGAATTGATATATAATCTGGCATTGCATTGTGTTGAGATGGAAATGTGAAATGTTCGACAAATGGTATGCATGCGCATTCACCTTATGGCTTTGTTAAGATTCATATATTCCGTTAAAGTATCTCTATTGGGTTTTGGCTCACCCTATGTGGAAAACAACTTTCAGGTGCTGATGATATGCTTTCACTAGGGACATAGATGAAAGGACTTGGAGCTAAGAGTTTCTTTTGTTTTATTTGATGTAATTATTTTTTGTATAAGTTTTGGACTTTAATTGTATTGAATTGAACTCATTTTGCTGTATCCAAGCTTTGGCTTGGAAAGATGTAGCTATTAGGACATATAATTACTTGATTTTACTTAAATTTTAATTCATGTATCCATATCATATGCTATAGATTCAGGATTTAAGATTTATGAATATATACACGCATATGTCTTCTTTTGTATCATCAAGTTTATAAATGGAATATAAGGTATGATGTTATTGATCAATTGTAAGGAATATTATGAGATGGGCAATTATTGTTATTTCGGGGCGTTACACGACCACTGCGAAGTTGAGAGGCGACGCCAATAGCTCGTCTCCGTTGTTCTCTGATACGTCTCCGATGGACAGAGGCAATTTCTCTCTGCCATAGGGTATGATGGCTTCGATCACAGGACGCATCGCTGAAAACCACTGTGATGAAATTCTAGAAGTCGTAGCAGAGGATAAACAAGGTAGTAGTCGAACAACCGCCATGGTGGTTGCGACAGTCTGGTGGTCGCGACAGAGGAGGAATGAGGCGATGGTGTGGTGTTGAGAGAGAGAGAGAGAGAGAGAGAGAGAGAGGAAATGTGAATGTTAGGGTTTGAGTGAAATGATACTGTGTATATGATATTAATCAGAAGGGGTATTTTGGTCATTTTACTTGAGTTTGTTCTTTGGAACAAGGTGTTTGAGACCATAGACCTATAGTCAAACAAAATTAAAATTTGGATTTATGAACCAAGTATAAAAAAAAAAAAAATTCAAAATTACTTTAGAAAATCCAAACTCATAATAAAACTCTTAAATATGTATCCAATATATATATTTTTTTAATTGTAACTTTTACCAGTATTTAACCTATTCAAGTTTGGTTTAAATTTTTTTTACGAATTTTATAATTTGTTCAAACTTGGTTCATTATACTTTTTTATGCTACCAAACTAAATCAAATGACCAATTAATTGTTCAATGTAACATTTTCTTTTTTTTAAATTTGCTTTTCTATATGTCAAATAATTTTGCTTTTAACTCTAGAATGGTTGAATTTTTGACAAAATAAAAAATCATACAAACAAGATCAAACAATTCACGGGCAAGTTGCCTATTTAGTTATGACAATATTTTAGTTATAACACATAAAATCTTTAGTCATGTCTCATGTGGTGTTTGCTTATGATTTTTTTTTTTAGTTATGATTCAAAAAATATTAAGTTATGTTATTTTTTCTTTTTAATTATAAGATGCATATAATAAATACTATTTGAGAAGTGTATATCATAATCTTTTTCATCATATATATATATCATCTAATAAACTCTAACAAACTTTTCATGTGATGCATAGAAGTATATATATATATGTTTTATCTGAGGAACTTTTCATGCGGTATTCCATCGACATGAGCAAGTTACCTCACAAGGCATGAACAAGTCACTTTACAATTGAAGCTACCTTGTCAAACCAAACAACATGCTTATTCCTTAATATATGTTGTACTATGAAATCGGAAATCCAAAATCTATGATTTGTTAGGGGGTGTTTGGCAAGAGCTTTTTTTTTTTGACTTTTTGGATTAAAATCTGTAGAAAGACAAAATAGGTTAAAATAGTCAATAAGATAAAATATCATATCAAACCCATAGTTATTTCACTTTTTCTTTTACAAACGTCACATCCAACTACAAAAAAATAAACTATCTTTTCAAACACAAAAATTTTAACCTACTAAAATAATCTACTAAAATGACAACTTTCCAAACACCCACATAATATTTTGTAGAGGTAGTATTATTGGACTGAGAAAGACAGCTTGCTTTTAAAGGGTTTAGCGAGGATGTCGAAACCAATCAATTTCATAGGGGAAATGCTATATACCATATGCACCATATTAGAAAAATGTGTAATTTTGTTACAAAATTTTGTAATATTAATTATAAAATGTATAATCTTATCACAAATTAGCGTAATAGAATATTTAAATTTCGTGATTGATGTTGCAAAAATTTGTGACTTAATTACGACATTTTTTTGTTACACTAATTTGTGAAAAAATTATGCATTTTATAATTAATGAAACAAAATTTTATAGTAAAATTACATAGTTTGTAGCAGGGTGGTGCACACCATAACATTTCCCTTTCATCCGCCGAAATATTGACAATTTCGTCAAGAAATGGCTGCATTTACCATTTCAACATGCTGTTGGCTGTTTATTAATGAAGAATATAGACTCATTCTATTAGGCTAGCTTTAAAGTCTCTCTTTTCATCTTCCGAAAACATCTATAAAAGCAGTTCTAAGTGGTTACTTATTTCCCATCTCATCAAATCTTTCAACTCTCAAAAGAAGATTGCTTCATTCTCAACAAGAAGAAGATTTTTAGTTTCCAAAATGGCATCACAATTTGCTCTGTTATTAGGATTATTGGCTATAACTTGTTCGGTTGCTTTTGCATCTGACAATAATCCTCTTCAAGACTTCTGTGTTGCAGACAACAGTAGCTCAGGTTCTATGTTCTTCATATATACTTTCTAGTTTATTTGGTTCTATTTTCTAATTTTTTTCTATTTTTATTTTTATTTTCTTGAAAAATACAGAAAATTTATTGACGAACAGCTTTTGAATTATTTATTTATTTTTGAAAATAGTTCACTCTTTAGGAAACACCAAAGTTTATTTTTAAATTTTGAAAATAGTTTTTGCATAAAAATGAAAAACATGAAAAAGAACATTTTATTTATATATATTAAACAAAACTAAACCAATTTATTTGTATACACATCCTATAATAATCTACTTATTGGGTTTTATGGGCCTTAAATCTTTTATTTTTTGTGGTTGTAGTGCTAGTGAATGGTTTGGTGTGCAAGGATCCAAAGCTTGTAGAAGCGAATGACTTCTTGTTTAGAGGCCTACACTTAGCAGGCAATACATCGAATGCAGTTGGATCGAAGGTGAATTTAGTAAATGTTGAACAATTTCCAGCGCTTAACACTCTTGGCATTTCCATGGCCCGCGTTGACTACGCACCATTGGGCATCAACCCTCCCCACATACATCCTCGGGCCACTGAAATTTTGACTGTAATTGAAGGGAGCCTACAAGTAGGGTTTGTCACCTCTAACCCAGAAAATCGTTTCATCACAAAGCTACTTCAGAAGGGTGATGTGTTTGTATTCCCGATGGGTCTTATCCATTTCCAGCGTAATGTTGGACATGGTAATGCACTAGCCATTTCAGCACTTAGCAGTCAAAATCCTGGTATTATTACCATTGCAAATGCTGTCTTTGGGTCAAAACCTGCAATCTCTAGTGATCTTCTCTCAAAGGCTTTCCAAGTGGATAAAAATATAATTGTTCGTATGGAGTCTCAATTCTAAACATTCATTCCAAAGCAACAAATCAAGAAGAAGAATGTCTAGACCATTTGTTTCAAGATTTTAGAATTTTTATATTTTACTTTATTGTTTGGCAAGTTGATTTGTTATTTTTTACCAGAACAATAGTCTAGGAAGGTTGATTTGTTATTCTTTGATTGATTTTTCAAAATATAAGTAAAAGAATGTAATAAGTTTGTAAACTTCATTACTTTTACAGCTTAGATTATTCTGAGTTTGTTAAATATTTAATTGTTTTTAGTGTATATCAAGATTTGATATATCTGGATATTATTATTATTTCCTTTGAGAAAGAAGTTCATTGCCATCAAAATATGCTTGTGTGTTATCATTCAAGGTCGTTAATATGACCTTAAATTGGGGGTGAAGTTCAAATGACGTGCCCATATGTGTTACAAATTTTATTTGATGGGTCAAGGTTAGCGTAGCAAAAAAAAAAAAAAAAAAGAAAAGAAGAAAAAAGAACCTTTAGAAAATGATAATTTCGTACAAGTTATTAAAAAAATATATAGATTGATATCAATGATTTCTTAATACTTATCTCAATTGTTTCATACAATTTTTTGTTCCATAATTAGGAACTGTTATTTTAAGGTATTTTATTAGTTGATAAAAAATCTACTTCTATGTTTTTTTATAATGAAAAAACAACAAATGACATTTGCATATCAAATCAATAGAACTAATGGTATTATCTAATATGTGAAAGAGTTTGGGTTCAAGCCAAATATATTAGGAATACTCATGAAATAAGGAGTTGACTGATAAATCAATTTAGACTGGTTTGAATCATATGGTTTGATCTAGTTTTTCAAGAGAACAAATTGGTTTTGGTTCGAAGTAATTAAGAACTATTGATTATTGTTTAGTTTCAAGATTAAGGCTCAAAGAACTAGACCGAACTGTTATATTTATAAGATTTTGAGTATTGCTATTCAGACTAAAAAATTAGACTCATTTTCTAGATCCAAGGATGTGTCACTTTATTCAAATATCTAAGTCAAATTTGTAGGAAACTATTTATTAAACTAGTGAACTGTGTGTATTTAAATATAAGATAATGACTTATACAATAAAAGTCTAAAATAATTTCAGAATCTAAATTATTTTTTGGAAACCAGAAAATTATTTTGTAACAGAATAATATTTCCAAAAACCACAAATAAGAAAAGAAATTCTTGTAAAAGTATATAACAAGCATAAGACTACAAACTGTAAATCAGATTAAATAATATAAATAGAACTTACAAGATGTAGAAAATGCAGAAATACAAAAAAAATTGACGCACGTGCTAGACACAATTTCCTTAAAATCGGAATGTCCTCGTTACGGTGCTCGAGAACAATGACGCTGACCTCCCAGGATGTAATGACTGCACCCAACAACGCAACACTACGAGATTGGGACTACAAAATGTGTAGCACTATCATGCAAAAATTAGAGAAGGAAAAAAATGCAAAAGAATGCAAGGAAAGAACGCAAAAAACAAATGAATGAAATGCTGGATAGGGGGCTTGAATTTATAGGCTTCATGGTGATTGTTCGGATGGGTTTGGAGACCTTTTGAATATGTGCGAATCGGAAAACTGCCGGAGTGAAGAGAGGTGTCCGGAGAAGGGATTGGAAGGAATTGGTTTGGATTTGAAAATTCAAATTCAAAATTTTTCCCGCAAAATTTTGAAGCAAAACAATTCAGAATTTGATTTTTCCCACAAAAGTTTTGAAAAAATTCAAATGATTTTTGTCAAAAAAATTAAAGTTAGGACTTAACTAGTCGGCGGCGTGTGGTGGATTCTGATCAAACCCACGTTGTCTATAACTCCCCTACTTACAAAACTTAGGGTGCCCCTTGGGACCCATCCCAAGTATGCCAACCTAGAGTTTATATACTCATACAAACTCTCTTTGTGTTAATGTGGGACAAGCCATTTAATGAGCAAACCCACTTTGTCTATTCAACTTCCATTTTCACAAATCCGAAAATGACGTCAACTTCCCATTCACTTGAAAATGCTTTTAATGAATCATCTTGAAGGCATGATTCAACACATGGCAAAGAACACATCACCACTTAGACCCACCTCAAATGATGCATGGGTCGTGCTTCAATTTGGGCTCAAAGTTGCCCAGAAATAAGCCTAGAAACTCAAACTTTCCAACAAAATTTTTCTCTCATTTATTCGTTAATCATCAACCAATCATCTTATTGACACATCATAGAGTTTAGAAAATGAGTTCAAAAAATAGGCTTATATATCATTTTCCTAAAATTTTGCACTTATTATATTATTGAAAGTTGCATTTATGCAGTGTTTAATACATAATAAGAAGAATTTGATGTGCCTTTGCACATTCTATAAAAGTTGGTTTGGAAAAATATTACTAAATTTTTAAGTATATTTGTCAATTTTTATGGAATACTTTTATAGGTAGAAACAGTTTTTTATTGAATTGAATTTTCTAGCCTAGAGTAATAGAATTGAACCGAATTTGACTATTTTTTGTGATTTGGTTTTGGTTCGGTTTCAAAGGTTATACAGTTCGATTTGGTTCTTAAATTTCTTAATTTTGCTTAAAATCAAACCAAAACGTTCCGTGAACACCACTACTTGGTGTCTTGGTTGCTGCTGGGCTTTGGGTGTGTTTAATATGCAAGTGGTTTGAAGGCAACTACTGGGTTATGTTTGAATTTTGAAAATAATCATAGATGATACTGGCAACTTTTGTTATGTGTAGTGGTGGATGGCTATCAATGGGGTAATCTCGATAATACTTTCAAAAGCAAGAGAGTTCAGTGTAATTATTAAGATTACATGGGAGGACCTTGCAATTATGCAAAAACTCAGGGGAGGTTAGTGTTATTTACTTTTTTTTTTTTGTGTGTGTGTGTATTCTAAGTAATTGGTCACGATCTTTTAGCATGATCAGTACCTCTTGTCGTTCCAAAGATGAGGTTCAAATCCTGGTTGAATTACATGTATGATGTATATGTCTTTCTTTAATAGAAATAAACACAAATAATTAGTGAGGCTGTTTTGCTGTAGGCTGACAACAGGAAAGCAATCAACTACTTTGGTAGCTGCTACTGATTCTACCTTGTAGGTAGCTGAAACTTAATGAAACAATTTTGAAATCTATTTTGTTTTGTTCAAGATATCAACAACCCACTTGCTGCAACACATGGTGGGTGAAGCAAAACTACATGGAGAACAAAAAATGGCCGGGTTGTGACTAGTTGAAAATTGAAATAATTATATTTGCTTCCTATGTTATTGCAGCTATGGTACTGCGGGATTGGCTTTTCTAGTTGCTTTTTAACCTATTAGCTTTTTTGAGAAGCGAAAAAAGCTAATGTAATTAGGAAGTTACTAAAAAGTCTCTTTTTTTGTGATGTAAAATTTGTCTATTTGCTGTTGATGACGAACAAGCTTTTTGCTTTTTTGCCCTTTTTTTTAAGCCTAACAGTTTGCTTATTTAGCACATTCCAAACAACCCCTTAATCTAATATGTTGAAGACTAGATGTTTATCTTTATTCCTATGACATGTGTGCGCATGCATAAAAATCCTCATCTAATTTGAATGCCTTTTTGTTTTTGTGGGTACATAACTTGGAATATTTGGATTGGATAGAAGTTTGAAATGATTGTCTATTTTTGAAACCATCATTCTCTGCATTCATAGAAACATAATTCACCTTGTCTATGCTGAAACCATCTGATTGGAATAGTCTTTATCAGTAGAAGTTTGGATTTGTTTTTCATATATGTGCCTCTATGAGGAGTACCCTGAAATACTTGCAGAGCTGAAGGTAAAGTCTTTATGATCAATTGCTTCTTCAAGCCCACATGATTTTAAAATATATAGATTTCTTCTCTGAATGCTATGAGCATTGCCATGTATGCTTTTGGAGAACGAAATTGTTTATTGAGGGGAAAACACTTAGGTTGTGTTTGGATCCTGAACTTGTAGAGGAAAAAGAAAAGAATGGGAAGAGAAGAAAAGAAAATGAAGTAGAATTTATTTATTTTTTTTCTTCCCCCTTCCTTGGTTGGGTTGGAAAAGAAAAGAAAATAAATATATATTTGATAAAAAAATCTATTTTTTGCTTAGTTACATATATAAGATGAGCATGTATAAGTAATTCTATTGCCCGTGCCATTTGCTTTTTCCTCAATGAATCTGGGATTCTTGCAGCCTAAATAATACTTTCTTTTCTGCAAAACAGAACCACATATTGAGGAGATAGTATTTGCTGATAATATTATCTTTTCAGAGTTGGTCATGGAAGACTAAATTAATTATTTAGTCATTATGTTGACCCACATGATATGGTAATATGAATTAGAGATTTGACAAGATTATGATTCCATATTTTTTTTTTACAATTAATTGGTAAATAAAGAAAAGTGTTATTCTCTGGTCTACGTGGAAGCATCGCAATGATTGTGTTTTTAATGGATCTCAACCTAACTTGGATGATTTGTGTGAATTAGTGAAGGTTCGAGTAGCTATGTGGCTCAAAGCCTCACCAGTTTAGATGGAGTTCTCTATTAATGACTTGATCTTTAACCTATCACAGGTGATGTTTTGCATCAGAAATGGAGGCTGACTGATCTGGATCAAGTCTGGTGGCATTTTTTACTCTGCTGCTATTACTCTACTGCTAGTACTTTGCCTGCCATGGTAGCATCATCACAGCAGTGTTTGGTTCTGGATGGTTGGTTGTTGGTCTGATTTTGTTTGCAGATGGTGTTTGTGTGCTGATCTGCTGATGTCTGCACTGGTCTCATCATTGTTGATGTCTGACTGGTTGTTGATTGGTCTGTGGATTGGATTCTGGCGTTTTGTTTCCTCATTAATTCTGGTATTCTGGATTCTGGTGCTGAACTGCTGATGTCTGCACTGAACTCTTCACTGCTAATGTTTGATTGGACTGTGAATTGGATTCTGGTGCTTTTGATTCCTCATCAATTCTAGGACTCTGCTGATGTCTGCATTGATGAAGTGTTTATTGTGCTCAGGTGCTGTGTTTGGTTTGGTTGTTGGTTTGAATTGGCTGTTGGTCTGAATGGAGCTCATGGCAGCTGAAGCTTGCACATGCCTCATGTTGGTTTGCTGTTTGGTATGTGGATTGGATTCTTGTGCTTTTGTTTGCTCCTTGCTGCTGTGCTTACATAGGTGTTCTGTTTTTTGGGGTGTCTTTGATTAGTTTCTCAACAATCTTGTTATGGATTTGGTAGATGATCTGCAAGGATCTGGTGAGTAGCAGATGT